GTTTGAATGAAATAGGGATGGCAACGAGTAACCGGTTAACCGAGTACTCGATCGAACGTCCGAATATCGGTTAACAAAACTGATAATCGATTACTCGGAAAAAAATATTTAATTTCTACTCTTTTGCGATTTAGGAAGATTAGTTCAGAAATTCGGAAATGTACACGTATCTGTATAAATACTTGTTAAATGCAATCAAAACATCCTTGCATAGGTGTGAAAATGATATCGTAAATTTAACGAGGCGATCAGCAGCTTGACACGCGTATGGGAATGAACACAGTCCTGTGTCGTTTACGTCATTCGGCCTTTTATGATATATATAGCCGAAACTATTTAATTGTAAAAACATAAATATATACTGAATATTATGTTGAGGCTTTGTATTTTGCTACGAGAAGCAGTGGAAAATTGAAATCTCGCGAGACCGAAGGTCGGAAATATCAATTTTCCAACATTGCGACTAGAAAAATGCATAGGCTCAGAAAGCTACTTCAACATAATATTCCTTTTATTATATACCTTTTCGTTTGAATTATAAATGAATTTCATTATACTACACTTCCATAAGAAATTTCAGAAAATGAAATGTAGCTGTCAAGAAATAAATTTATGACCGACGGATGAATACGTAATTTTTGCAAAACCGGCCTCGCCTTTTATAATTTTGGTTTCCGTTTCCAAATGCTACGTTTATACACAGCTAAGATCGGAACCAACGTCAAAAATAATCCGGCACTTCCATATATGGTACCGTATTTGTCAATAACATAATACGGAATTATCTATCCGTTGAAGCGTATTTGCATTTGCGCTTCAAGTTCATCCTGTATTTTAGGGAGAAAATTTGTAGGTATATAATAAATGCTGTCATTGGCATTTCTTATGTTTATATTTATATATGTATTTCTTGCAGTCCTATTTGTAGTTACGAATTCTTTGAATTAAAATAGAAAACAAAAGTAGCATGCAGACGGTGTTGATATTGTGTGATAAAACTTTCAAGATCATTGGAAATCATCCGAGTAACCGAGTACTCGATCGGAAAAATGACCGAGTACTCGAGTATTGATTTTGGTATTCGTTGCCATCCCTAGAATGAAATAATGGAAAATGGAATCCAGAATAATGCAACGTTTAAATATCATAAAGCAAGATGGAATCAACCATAATGCAAGTTCTAATGTCATGTAGCAAGATGGAATTAAGCATAATGCAAGTTCCAATGTCATCAAACAAGATGGAATCAAGCATAATGCAAGTTCCAATGTCATCAAGCAAGATGGAATTAAGCATAATGCAAGTTCCAATGTCATCAAGCAAGATAGAATAAGTGCATTAATTCTGTTCCATATAATCATTAAATATATGCATTCATTTCTTACTGAAAAGTTGGGCTTTATAGAAAATGAATTTCTAATTACCTCCCTTAATTTACATGAAATATTAGATATATTCGGTAATATCCTTATAAATAATGCTTTTTGGAACTTACAATTTTGATACATCTTAATTTGAGCATCATATTTATGATATAAAACCATGAAAAAATTGTGTTTCAGGATCTTTAAGTTCTAAGTGTATTGTCTTCATACTTGGCCACAACAAACCTTGGGACAATACCGTCAAGAAAAACTAAACGTAACTTGATTTTCATTTATAAATGACCTTACCCTTCAAAGTCAAATGTCTAACGGTTGCTTGAAATTTACTAATTTATGCTATAAGTGACTATAACATTGTAATTTTTTTAAAGAATTGTCTTCATACTTAAACAGAACAACCTTTAAACCGACCAGAAGACATTTACTTTCCCGCAAAAATGACCATGACCTTAAAGGTCATATTTTTGTGATTAATTAATGGATTATCTTCATACTTGGACAAAACAACCTTTTGGACAATACATTCTAAATAGTTGAACTGACCTTTACCATGAGCTTTAAATTGCCTTGACCGTCAATATCAAATTATTGAATTTTCAAATTGGTAAAAATGTCATAAATTTCTTATGTATTTACAGATTTTATTTATATTTGGACAAATAGAGACTTGCTACCAAACAAATTGGTATAATTGAATATATTGAATAATTTAGATTTGTCATTGACCTTTTTATTGACCTTGACCGAGGTCAAATTAATGAAATTCGATTATTTAATTCTATAGATTTGGACCACATGCACAGTCTTAAATATAAAATTTGACTTAGATTTTGATGATGATGATACCTTTCTTTTGATATCAGCTGATATATAGTTTGATAAAGTGGCCTTCTTTTCTGTCCTTTGATGTACACCTGTGCGCAGTTTTAGATGTAAAATTGAACTTAGATATCAGCTTACCTAGAATTCGCCAAAGTGACAGACTTCAATGTCCCTTGATGTACAGCTTTGACATTTGGACCATGTACAAAGCTTTAGATGTAAAATCAAACTTTGATATCAGATGGCCTAGATAATTTGTTGAAGTGATATATTTTGTCATATGCATGTGTTAAGATGTAAAATTAAACTTTGATATCAGCTGACCTAGATTTTAATTAAGTGACTTTCTTATCATTTGATATACAGCTATGAAATTAAGTCATGTGCGCATGTTTAGATAAAAATTGAACTTTAACAGAAGTTTACCTAGATTTTATGTACATCTATGAAATTTGAACCATGTGCACAGTTTTAGCTGTAAAATACTTGTGCAAAACAACAAATCTTTTTTTCTTCATTTAAAAAAAGATTTGTTTAAACTTTTTAATTTGAAAGAATATAAAAAGTCGAGCGTTGCTCCTGCCCGGTGGTGGCTCTTATTTTAGTTTATCACAACACATTTTCAGATTTTAGATAAATGCTTCCTACTTTTTTGTCACTTCACATATAAAGTACCAAAGACTAATAAAGGTATCTAAATTTTAATTATAATTCAACTTTCGTTTATACCTTACCTCTGAACGGATAACACGTTGCTGAAAAGAGTTGGATAAATGACATAAATACAAGTAAATTATTATTTTTACAATAACTTTTATGTCTTAGTTAAACGTTGTTCATGTGATTATTGGTACAATTTCGAATCATTAATTTTATACAACTAGCCTCGTGTAGGAAAATAAATTTATTTGATTTGAATAAATATCAAGTAAGATCAAAAACTCATATTATGATGTTAAACAGCGATTCAAAATAAGACTGTACGATTTAAAACTTAAAATTTACATGTTACCTGTTTAATTGTGGACTTAATATGTGATATTTGAGTATTCTATCAAATGTATTATTATGAAAATACATATATGTTTAAGATATACTTCATATGCATTTACATATTTTTTTTCAATTACCATAGTACCATTTATTGTGTTATAGAAATATTGCAATAAGCTAGCCATATTAAACTTCACTTTATCTTGTAGAGTTTTTGTCCATGTTGTTTGTTGTCATGAACATTGCATGATAGACGAGTATGGAATGTACAAACATGATACCTTTTTACATTAGGTATTTTCATTAGAAACGGAAACAGCATTGGTGCGTACGCATTCTGTGAAGGGCACAATAAGGACTACTAAAAGAATGTAATTTAAAGGTATTTGATTCATTCGATTCCGACATAAGCAACTTTGCATCAAGCCTGCATGAAATACAAGTACCTGATATGTAAATATCATCCAATAGAAATATTCGGTAAAAGTGTACGAAGTTTGGCTGGCGTCATAATTAAAGCATTGAACTTCTTGTTATTAAGGAGTCGTGATGCGAGTTCTCTTTGGGCCATATTCGCTTTACAATCTCATGCGTATGTGATTCCAGGTTAACCAGAATACAGCAATTTCTTGTAAAAAAAAAAATTCGTGATTTGACATTTATAACAAGTAAAAGAAAACAATGCGGGACTTTTTTGAACCAACACAAGAATTATTCAAATCCTCGGGTTTAAAAATATCACAGGCAAAGGGGCTCCTTTAAAAAAAGGTTTTTAAGATAAAATTTTAAATTTTTTAAAATTTTTTTTTCGGGGAAAAAAACCCTGGGTAGGAATAAATTACCGTTTTTTTTTTAAGTGGGCCCCCCGTTTTTTTGAATGCAAAAACTTAACCAAGCAAAGTAGCTCTCCCTCTTCTTAGAGAATCCCGTAAAACAAAAAGTTTGCATGATGCATTTAAAAGGCGACATTTTAACTGCTTCCCCTAGGACCCCAAAAGAAAAGTACTAAAAGTTGGCAAACTTGTTGCGGCACTTGTAAAGTAAATACAGGTTAGGAGGAACTTTTATTATTATTCAATTTTTTTAGGATCAAAAGCCACTGTATATCTATCTGTCTACCAGACAAAATAAAACAAAAACATGAGACTCACATACACCCTCTTTGTTCCACGCCCTCCTCTCCACCAAAACAAATCTGCACAGTATGCAGCGAACTTCATCCATGATTTATTAGGGTTCCTAGTTGTTGTTTTAGTGGGGTTTTTTTGCTGTTGTTTTTTTTTTTCAGCACAAAATGACAGACAAATATTATCGACTAGTTACCATTTTGGTAAATATATGTCCTGGCCCTCTACGGGAACTGTTTCTGAAACAGGCAGCCGCAGACCCTAATCTCAAAACACCATACACTACATTAGATGCTTATTTAGCGTTCAGGAGAAAAGATATCAATAGACTTACCCAAAAACCGAAATGTGTTATACGAAAGGATCAATTTGATTTGTTATTTCCATCTGCTGGGCAAGGTCAAACAGATATCGGCGCATGGGATGTGACATTATTAACTGCTCTGTTGAAAAACATTTTTAGCTTAGCCCAAAATGATCTTGTGTGTATCGAAAAAATCAGGACAATCAGAAATGAGCTCCAACATATCGCAGGTACGTGTAAAATAACAGAACATGATTTTAAGAATATATACACAAACCTTAGTGTGAACATTGTAAACTTAGCATTATCTGTTAAGGGTCAAGGCTATGCAGACAAGATTGAACAAGATATTAAAGAGGTAGAAAGTTCTATATTAACAGATCTAGGAGATGTGCTAAGGTCGTGGTACATGAGCAAAATCGTTAAGTTGGAAACAAAAATAGAAAAACCTTAAGGTAAAGATAGATGAAATAAAAACAAGATACAGGCAAAACCATGAAGACACTGAATAAAACCACTGTCAAGCGAACACGAGCCGGAGGTAAAAGTTTGAAACGCTTCAAAACTGTTGATCATATACTTGAAAAAATGAGAGGTAAGCCTTCATATGAATTTTAAACTTTATGTCAAAAAGTAACTGCCATTATAATTTGGTGGTCGTTTAAACCATTGAGACAATGTCTGACAGTAAATGTTGATACTCGTTATTAAAGAATTTTATATATAATAAATAATATAATGTTTATATGATTCTTATTATTGATTTACAATGCTTAAACATTTTTCTCGTGTAATCTTCATTATGTTTTCAAATAGAAAACTTTGCGTCGTTGCTGAGGAAGAAACTTGACAGTGATTTTACACCTCCACCAGAAACTGCGAGAATCATTAAAGAAATCGAAGATAATCACCTAGTGGTCGTGTCAGGATACGGCAAAGGTCTATATCTACAAGCGGCACTCTCTGCTATTGATAACCAGGATTATGAAGCGGGAGAAAGCATCCTATGTTCAAGTCCCACTGACTGGCGCCACATCGGTAATGAAGATGCCGAGTTAGTTGTATTCCTTCACCCATTTGGCGAAGGTACATTTGATTTACAGAAGGCAAAAGACTTTCGTTCAATTGCGGATAATATTGTAGAGACAACTGACTCCATGGACAATGATGATGTGCTAGATGTTGTCATAATAATGGACCAATCAATTTTAGAAGAATGGAAACGTCATTTTAGACATGATATGATGAAACAACCAATCGTTGTCTACAAACCAACCACTGAAGACTCACCTGTGGACCTTATTGAAGGTACATTTATTTAATTACGCTGATTCATTTTATTGTTTACAAATATAACCATGTTTTAAAGGCTTTCTGTGTCTGATTATTTATTACTATTTATGACAAAAATATTTCACTCATTTGTAGTAAGTCAGCTATTTGTTAGGTGTGTCACTTCCTTTTATAAACATCAAGATCTAGATACTTGACATAATCCGTTAGAATACATGGTCCTAATCCTACCATTTGAAATATACGTTCGGTGTAGGATAAGAACGAGCTACTGATTCAATTATATGATACCATATTATTTATTTCGTTTTTTAGTAGAAAGCAGTATGTCACAGGTTGAAGCAGATCCACACTACAAAAACTTACTTGGTATGTAAAATTCAGAATTTTTATTAGATGAAAAGAAGCAAGCATATATAACTTATTATCATAGCATCAATATTGTGTTGCACAATTATGGATTTTTCATTTATGTTAGAAATAGTATAGTCAAACATCTATAAAAATTGTTAACTCTGGAACTTAGTCATCTTAGAAGAATGTTCGTTTTTTCCTTTTCAGTTCAATCAATTGCCTACAATAAACATCATAGAGCAAAGATGGCAGATGAACACTTTTTGGAAAATGCATTGGAAGAATTCCGCTCCAAAAAGGTAATCGTCATTTCCGGTCCACGTGGCAGTGGAAAAACGACGCTTGCTCTCTCCCTACTGTCGTCATATCAAGATGGTCATTATCTCATACTAACAGAACCGGGTGATCTCAGTTGTATTAGATTCGGTGTTACCTGTGTTGTGATCATCGAAGAACAGTTATCTTGGAGGAAAGTACATGTTCGAAATGTCCGTCACAAAAGTGGTTAACAATTTGATAATTGCTCTACACGGCAGTCCACAAAACATAAATTAAACAATAAAGTATCACATGTTCTAACAAGCTTCAAGCACACATAGTTACCAGACAACAATAAAGTAACAATTGTTCTGTTAATTACAAGCTATCAAACACACATATTCCACTAAACATATACCAGACAACAATAAAGTAACAATTGTTCTGTTAATTACAAGCTATCAAGCCACATATTCCACCAAACATATACCAGACAACAATAAAGTAACAATTGTTCTGTTAATTACAAGCTATCAAACACACATATTCCACTAAACATATACCAGACAACAATAAAGTAACAATTGTTCTGTTAATTACAAGCTATCAAACACACATATTCCACCAAAACATATACCAGACAAGAATAAAGTAACAATTGTTCTGTTAACTACAAGCTATCAAGCCCACATATTCCACTAAACATATACCAGACAACAATAAAGTAACAATTGTTCTGTTAATTACAAGCTATCAAACACACATATTCCACTAAACATATACCAGACAACAATAAAGTAACAATTGTTCTGTTAATTACAAGCTATCAAGCCCACATATTCCACAAACATATACCAGACAACAATAAAGTAACAATTGTTCTGTTAACTACAAGCTATCAAACACACATATTCCACTAAACATATACCAGACAACAATAAAGTAACAATTGTTCTGTTAATTACAAGCTATCAAAACACAACATATTCCACTAAACATATACCAGACAACAATAAAGTAACAATTGTTCTGTTAATTACAAGCTATCAAACACACATATTCCACTAAACATATACCAGACAACAATAAAGCAACAATTGTTCTGTTAATTACAAGCTATCAAGCCCACATATTCCACCAAACATATACCAGACAACAATAAAGTAACAATTGTTCTGTTAATTACAAGCTATCAAGCACACATATTCCACTAAACATATACCAGACAACAATAAAGTAACAATTGTTCTGTTAATTACAAGCTATCAAACACACATATTCCACTAAACATATACCAGACAAGAATAAAGCAACAATTGTTCTGTTAATTACAAGCTATCAAGCCCACATATTCCACCAAACATATACCAGACAAGAATAAAGCAACAATTGTTCTGTTAATTACAAGCTATCAAACACACTAATCCACCAAACATATACCAGACAAGAATAAAGCAACAATTGTTCTGTTAACTACAAGCTATCAAACACACATATTCCACTAAACATATACCAGACAACAATAAAGTAACAATTGTTCTGTTAATTACAAGCTATCAAACACACATATTCCACCAAACATATACCAGACAAGAATAAAGTAACAATTGTTCTGTTAACTACAAGCTATCAAGCCCACATATTCCACTAAACATATACCAGACAACAATAAAGTAACAATTGTTCTGTTAATTACAAGCTATCAAACACACATATTCCACTAAACATATACCAGACAACAATAAAGTAACAATTGTTCTGTTAATTACAAGCCTTAAAGCACACATATTCCACTAAACATATACCAGACAACAATAAAGTAACAATTGTTCTGTTAATTACAAGCTATCAAACACACATATTCCACTAAACATATACCAGACAAGAATAAAGCAACAATTGTTCTGTTAATTACAAGCTATCAAGCCCACATATTCCACCAAACATATACCAGACAACAATAAAGTAACAATTGTTCTGTTAATTACAAGCTATCAAGCACACATATTCCACTAAACATATACCAGACAACAATAAAGTAACAATTGTTCTGTTAATTACAAGCTATCAAACACACATATTCCACTAAACATATACCAGACAAGAATAAAGTAACAATTGTTCTGTTAATTACAAGCTATCAAGCCCACATATTCCACCAAACATATACCAGACAACAATAAAGCAACAATTGTTCTGTTAATTACAAGCTATCAAACACACTAATCCACCAAACATATACCAGACAAGAATAAAGCAACAATTGTTCTGTTAACTACAAGCTATCAAACACACATATTCCACTAAACATATACCAGACAACAATAAAGTAACAATTGTTCTGTTAACTACAAGCTATCAAGCCCACATATTCCACCAAACATATACCAGACAACAATAAAGCAACAATTGTTCTGTTAATTACAAGCTATCAAACACACATATTCCACTAAACATATACCAGACAACAATAAAGTAGCAATTGTTCTGTTAATTACAAGCTATCAAACACACATATTCCACTAAACATATACCAGACAAGAGTAAAGCAACAATTGTTCTGTTAATTACAAGCTATCAAGCCCACATATTCCACCAAACATATACCAGACAACAATAAAGCAACAATTGTTCTGTTAATTACAAGCTATCAAACACACTAATCCACCAAACATATACCAGACAACAATAAAGTAACAATTGTTCTGTTAACTACAAGCTATCAAGCCCACATATTCCACCAACCAGTATACCAGACAACAATAAAGTAACGATTGTTCTGTTAACTACAAGCTATCAAGTCCACATATTCCACCAAACATATACCAGACAACAATAAAGTAACGATTGTTCTGTTAACTACAAGCTATCAAGTCCACATATTCCACCAAACAGTATACCAGACAACAATAAAGTAACAATTGTTCTGTTAACTACAAGCTATCAAGCCCACATATTCCACCAAACGTATACCAGACAACAATAAAGTAACAATTGTTCTGTTAACTACAAGCTATCAAGCCCACATATTCCAACAAATGTACTGGTTTGGGAGATAAACTCGGCTGAAAATCAGTGTTTTTGGGGCATATTTCATTTATTTGTTTACGTATTCTGATGAATCTTGCACCATAATAAACTTCAGCTCTTGGATTTTCCGGTATCACCATAAAAGTTATATTTAGAAACATAATGGGTAATTTTGAGAGGCCCTGGAAGAGGTACGTAAAAAGGATATTTTTAACGTGCGCGAGTAGATAATTCCGGCTCTTTGTTTTCCTTCTTAAATGAGTAAGTTAAAACGTAAAATAACATGTTTAGACATTTTATTATTTCTTTGCTGTTCATTTATGTCAAATAAAAAATATTTGTTACCAAAATTGGTGAGCATTACGTTAGTATAATGAATATCTATAATAACACGATATTTATATGCAACGTACTATGTAACATATAAATCATTTTTACGTAAAAACACATGCATTATCATTTATTAACGTATAACGAAATATGTAGTTAAAGAATTAGTGATTCAAATTAATTTTTGCTTAGCTTAACAGAGTGAAGAAGAAATTAATTTAGTGGTATTCAACCTACACATTAACATATAAAAGGAGCATTTAACATATCAGTTTTTCAATCCATTCCAATTAAAGGTTACAATTGTGTAATCAGCCTTTTTTCTGAGTTAGCAAGACAAAAGTGAGTCTAAATTTCATCTACAAAATGTATACGTAAACGTCGTCTGCTTTACCGGTAGTCGGTCAATATATAAAAGTACCCCTCTGCGAGCCTCAAAATGAGCATCTGCTGCACATGCGCACAACAATGGGATTCCCGTACTTTTTATAGGCATGTTCTGTAAACAAACAGGTTAACGTTTGTGTTATTTTTAAAATATCTTACCAAACTTGACAAAATTTCCAGATATTGTCGAATTCCAGCGATAGTATGAGATTGTGAGTTTGATTAGATTAAAAATTCCGATAACTCGAGTTAATTATAACTAGAACTGCCACTACCTTGGCGTGAATACCCCCGCATACCACTTTGTCAGAATCAACAGTGGCCATTTAGAGCTCAAGGACAACCTCCCTGCCAAATCTGAGGTTACTAAGCCAGTGCATTGCTAAGTTATGTATTCTACAAGCTTCAAATGTGAAAATGTCAAAATCAATACATTGCGGACAGGACATTCTTTAGCAATTGAGAAGAAAAGCTTTTTTTTGTCAAGGTCCCTGTGACCTTGATCTTTGACCCAGTGACCTCAAAGTCAATAGGGGTCACCTTATAGTCATGATCAACATCCATGCCAAATATGAAGATTGTGGGTCAAAGGAATCTTAAGTAAATGGGTGGACAAACTTTTTGAAGTCAAAGTCCCTATGACCTTGACCTTTGATCCAGTGACCTCAAAATCACAAGGGGTCATCTACTTATCATGATCAACATCCATGCCAAATATGAAGACTGTGGGTCAAAGGACTCTAAAGTTATTGGGCAGACAAACTTTTTGAAGTCAAAGTCCCTGTGACCTTGACCTTTGACCTGGTGACCTCAAAATCAATAGGGGTCATCTACTAATCATGACTAACCTCCATGCCAAACATGAAGACTGTGGGTCAAAGGAATCTTAAGTTATAGGGCGGACAAGATTTTTGAAGTCAAGGCCCCTGTGACCTTGACCTTTGACCTGATGACCTCAAAATTAATAGGGGTCATCTACAAATCATGACTAACCTCCATGCCAAATATGAAGACTATGGGTCAAAGGAATCTTAAGTTATTGGGCGGACAAGCTTTTTGAAGCCAAGGCCCCTGTGACCTTGACCTTTGACCTGATGACCTCAAAATCAATAGGGGTCATCTACTAATCATGACTAACCTCCATGCCAAATATGAAGACTATGGGTCATAGGAATCTTAAGTTATTGGGCGGACAAGCTTTTTGAAGTCAAGGCCCCTGTGACCTTGACCTTTGACCTGGTGACCTCAAAATCAATAGGGGTCATCTACTTATCATGACTAACCTCCATGCCAAATATGACGACTGTAGGTCAAAGGAATCTTAAGTTATTGGGCGGACAAGCTTTTTGAAATCAAGGCCCCTGTGACCTTGACCTTTGACCTAGTGACCTCAAAATCAATGGCCGGACAGCCGGACGGACAAGCTGATTCCAGTATACCCCCCTTACAACTTTCTTGTGCGGGGGTATAAAAAGCCGAGTTTATCAACCAGCCGAAGTTATCTCCCCAACCAGTATACCAGACAACAATAAAGTAACAATTGTTCTGTTAATTACAAGCTATCAAACACACAAAGGGTATCTGTCTTCCTGGGGGAAATGTAAGGTTACAATATTTTACCATAGGTTTGGCAGGTTTAAATCCTGGCATGGGTTCTGTTGGTTTATTCTGGTGATATATTGTTTCTCCAACCAAAGCATCTTTAATATTCTTCATATTTGCTATGATATAGCCCACCTGTCCTGCATATCTATTGATAAATAACATGTGACATTGAAAGTTAAAATATAATAATTACAGTCTTACTTGCCAAAGTGACCATGTGTTTTAGCTACTTTTATCTTTAGCAACAGCTATGAATATCCAGATCATTTTCTCTTTATATTTTTAATGTGTTAAGCAACTTTTGCGACCACTAATTAGACAGCTAACTGTGATGAGAATTCACCAACACTTAGGAAAAGTTTAGTGTCATGGAACATTGAAGAAGACAAGATAAAATATTAAACAAAGGAGATTAATAATTCTGGAAAAATATCAAACATCAAACCAGTAAATCCTATGTTCATATAGTTAAATGTTGAAACTATACCATATACAATACTTGATTCTTAAAACAAATCTCTGACTTTATTGTCTTGTTTTATTTTTTTCATTTCTCAACCAAACATTGATTTGATATTTACAGATCAATTGTTTAGATGTGTGTTAAGTTAACCTATGCTTAATTTATTGTAAACCATCAAATATGGTGATAAACTTACAAGGCATGTGTAGGGAATTCTGTTGGATACATTATACCAATCTCTTGTACCTCATGTACCTTTTGTTTGTGATGAGTCATGATTTTATCACCTGTATAAAAAAAACAAGAGAGAGAATATTTTCATCTTACAAGAATTGAAACTTTAAAACAGCAGAAATAGAAAGTTGACCTTCAATGTCTGAGGTTAATGAATTTGCTTTTATTTATCCAAAACGTCAATGAGAAGTGATTACCCTTGTCTCATGTATTCTCAATTTCTGGTCATCTTAAAAATGGAAGTTTAAGAAATTTTGCAAGTTATGGTTAATTGACAATTTACACATATAACCTTTTTTGACAACTCCATCTAGTACAGCTATACTTGCTACAGCACCTCTATATGGTGTATACCATGAATCAAACATCAAGCATTTTAATGGTTTCTTAACATCTGCAACAGGTCTGAAATATACAACAATGCATTCATTTACTGCATTATGTTCCAAAACTATTATATGACAGCATCTGTTAAATAAGAGCCAATGATCCACATTGTCTTTACCTTATTGTTACTGACATCTCTGCAAAAACTGTCTTAATGGTCAAGTAGAGCTGAATTTACTTTATATTTCAAATGATTGACTGTTAAAATGGTGTTTGACCAACAGGTGATATTTGAAAATGTTTAGGATAAAATTATAAATCTGCCTTAAATATAAAAAGACTGCCCCACTCTCTTTATAAACTGAACAGTACACATAAATTCAATGGATATTTACAGAAAATTCCTTAGGATTTGGCATTATTGTTTTTGCGAAGTCAATTACTAAATCAAAAGGAATTATTGCAAAATGAAAACTTATTTATATATACCCTTTGATGGGCATAATGTCACTTTAAGCAAAAATGTATCATTCTAGTACACTATAGATAGTTCCCAATTTTTACAATATTTACCTCCCTTACCAAAAGTGGCAGTAATTCTGAGGTCAACACTCTATATAATATTATTAACAAAATATAAAAATATCAATATTAACAGCTGATATACGTAAATTGTCAAATTCTTTTATATATATGCAGCAAATTATTAAAGCACCAATATTATCATATACCAGATTTTTATAATATCTTATTGCTATTCATCTCTTGACTAAAATCAAATTAATAATGATCTGCACTTACGATGGAATTCTTTCTACAATTTGCTGAAGTACTTCATCAATTCCAGTACCCAACTTTGCTGAAATCTATAACAAACTAATCATACTTTAAAATTGTCAAAGACATTGAAGATTCTAATATAGGCATGTGTTATATTGCAAACAATAGTTTGTATACGGTCATATAACCTGTCATGAATATTTATTACAAATTTATAATACAGCAAATTTCCTTTTTTGAGAATAAAGTGACACTTCTACATAAATTGACAGCAGCCTTTCATATAAAACTATATTGACATCACCATTATCCAATAAAGTGGCATTTTCATGTTTTTTAAGTTTTTACTATATACATTTAAGGAAAATCAATGACCCCTGGGGCGGGGCCAATTTTAACCCAGCAGCCCTTATTTGAACAAACTTGGTAGACACCCACTAGAGGATATTTCATGCTTAATATCTAAGCTCCAGCTATTTGGGTTTTTTAAAAGGATTTTTTAAGTTTTTACTATATACAAATAAGGAATATCAATGGCCCCCAGGGCAGGGCCAATTTTTACCCAAGGGCTTTTATTTGAACAAACTTGGTAGACACCTACTAGAAGATGTGTCATGCTTAATATCTAAGCTCTAACTATTTGGGTTTTTTTAAAAGAAGATTTTACTTTATACAAATGAGGAAAATCAATGACCCCCCCCCCCCCCCCCCCCCCCCCCCCCCCCCCAGGCAGGGCCAATTTTGACCCCAGGGCATTTATTTGAACAAACTTGGTAGACACTCACTAGAAGATGTTTCATGCCAAATATTTAAGCTCTAGCTCCTTCGGTTTTCTAAAAGAAGATATTTTTAGTTTTTTCTTTCGGTTGCCATGACAACCTGAGTTCTGCATTGAATTAAATTCTTTGAACAATTTTTAAAGTTGAGTACCAAAAGAACATTCCTGTGAAGTTTGGATGAAATTGGCTTAGCAGTTTATGAGGAGATATTGTTTAAAGTAAAAGTTTACGGCCTGATGCCGGACGAAAAGCAATCACAAAAGCTCACCATGTCACTTTGTGACAGGTGAGCTAAAAATGAAAGCATGACATGTTCATTGAAGAAAATGAGTAGAATAAGGCTTCAATGTAAATGACTACAAGTTTACCTGTAAAACATCCTCGGGTAGAATATCAAACAGTTTATGAAGCTGTTGCATGACAACATTTGGTTGAGCACCTTTAAGATCAATCTTGTTGAGAACAGGTATCACTGGTAAATCTCTGTCAAATGCTAGGAAAAAGTTGGCTACAGTTTGAGCTTGCACACCCTATATAATGAGTTAAGAGCATTAAAAAAATCCAATGACTTGTGCTACATCAAAATAAAATCAGCATACTCATTCAACAAACCTAAAGTCCTCTCCGATTAAACC